CCAAATATTGTCCTATCCTAACAAACCATACATCAATGGAAAGCTTATTTATTCAGCTTACAGATGATGTATACATCTCAATTTCCAAAAATGAACCCTCATGACTGGTTTTGTGGTCCAGGGTCACATATGTAAATTGTGGTGTTGCTGTTTCTTCATAACATACTTGCTTTATTGAACGTCCTCACTCCATCAAAGACAGGCTTCAAAACCTCACCACACCCCCACCCAGCATTTAGCAATGGTACAGAGCAGTTTCAGAAATCCTCATCTTCACACAGATGTTTTGATGGTAAAGGCTAACAGGACGTAACCATAATGTGTTGCTAAATCTTTGTAATATGTAGGCTTTTCCCTGAGGATATTTTGGTATACTTCATGTGCAATAACATGAAGTTGTGTGTATATTGTGTTGTTTTGTCAGTTTAGTGCTGCATGTTTTGAGAGTGTGGCTTGTATGAACATGTCATATTTTGAAAGCAGATAGATGCGGTTAAAATGTGAGTCATCAATTTTTTTATTTATTTTTTTATCGATAAAAACTCAATTTAGTCTAAAGAGCAAAAGAAAAAAAACAACTTTGAAATGCTCAACAATGTGCAGTGTTCAGGTGTCCACATTCTTTTGGCCATGTAATGTATCATGTATTTTGTTATTATGCAGCAGCTGCTAAATATTTTTTTATGGTTTATGGTTTTAAGATAAGTACTGAGGATAATGAAAACTACATGGCCATCATTGACGCAGTCAACAGTGTCAGCCGTTATGGTATGTGCAATCTTCATATTCTACATTTAAAAGTGTCGTATTCTACACATTTGCAAAATATTATAGGAAAATCCTGTTTTCCATGAGGCCCCTTTAAGCTCTTCCATGTCCAAAGGCCCTTAAAGTGACAGTTCACCTAAAAAAGAAAATTCTGTCAGAATTTAATCACCCTCAAATAGGCCTGGACGATAAAACGGTATCGATATTTATCGACGGTACACCTTCTTCGATATCGATGGAAAAATTGTTCGATATAGTGCACGATATAGGCACGTGCTATGAGTGACGCAGATAGCACCTACAAACACGAACACTACATGCTGAATTGAGTGCTGTGCCTGCCTGTGATGAGAAGATTGTGAATAAAAATGTTTTTATATTAGTTGAATTTAAAATAAACATTTGCATTTGAATGTTAGTAGTGCGTCAGGGAGCGTCATCAGTGGTGCGCGAGATGCGGTGATAATTATGTGACGTTGTTGCATTTTAATATTTTGTCAGTCTAGCCCACGAGACACGCCACTGATGTAAGTGACGTTGTTGCATTTTAATGTTTTGTTAGTCTACTCTAGCCCATGAGACGCGCCGCTGCTGTGTTATGCATTCAAAATAATAGGAGAAGATCTTGAATAGGTTAAAACCGAAACCAAGCCATTCACACAGAACGCATATTCAGCGCATTTTTTAGACGGACAAATATGATTGCTGCACTCGCGTCTCACACAAGAGATGTATAGAAAGCCATGCAAAGTTAAAACAGTTGAAACTTTTAGAAAACACGTCACGAATTTGTGGAGGTTTATTTCTTTTCACTGCGTCTCATATGTTTTTAAATGCAATCTGTGTGAATGGCGCTTCGGCTCTTTGGATTAAGCAATGCATAAATACATGATGCTGTTTTGTTCATAATTGTTTATGCAATTTACGAAATTATATTTGATTTTTATGAGTTAATTTATATGTAATGCACGTTTTTATAGAGTTACATCCTTGCGTTGACAACTTAAATACGCTGCATTATTTTGCTCATTGCGCCCTCCTGTGGCCTCGGGAGACAGTTAGACCTATACAATAAAGACCTATTTAATCTGCATATAAAACATTAGAAATTAGATATTTGTTTAATTTTTATTGTGTTTGATTGTTAAAACAAAAAATATTTGTTGTTTGTCTCAATAAATTGTGTTAATTATAAATAAAGTGGTTAAATAAAAAAAATTCTATTGCTTTTTGTTTTAAAAAAGGTTTAAAAAAATGTCAATAATTATTGATACTGAACGATATGAAACATTATATCGTTGATACATTTTTTAGCTATATCGCCCAGTCCTACCCTCAAACCTGTGTGACTTTCTTCTGTGGAACTTAAAAGCAGAAATTCTGACGATGTTCGTCACTCTTTCCATTAAAATTATAATAAGTGGGGAAAAGCACCCATAACAAAAAGAACATAAAAGTTGTCCATATGATTTATGCTCTATATTCTTATGCACTTATATTCTTATGTCTGTATTTGTGTCCTTCTGAAGTAAGTCATAAGGTAGCTTTCTTTGACGAGCTGACTAAAATTCCTTTCTCCACGGAAGATAGAAAGTCATACAGGTTTGGAATAACATGAAACTGTGTAAATAATGACACAGTTTTCATTTTCATTTGAACTATTCCTGTTTTCTCTGGTCAGGAAAGAGCGGCCCTGTCTCTCCGTTCACCCTGCAAGGTCTCCTGCCCAAATCCACAGAGAAGTACTTCATCTATAACGGCTCTCTGACCACCCCTCCCTGCTCTGAGACCGTGGAGTGGATCGTCTTTAAAAACACGGTGACCATCTCAGATGTTCAGGTCAGTATAATGGACAGTTTTAGAGCAGTGACCTGCTAGCATATATTTCTGGAATTGCATGTGTTATATACAGATTTAAAGGGACCGTTTACCCAAAAATGAACAGTCTGTCATTATTTAAGGCTTTCAAGCTTCAAAAAGGGCACAAAAGCATCATTAAAGTGGTCCATACACCATATTCCAGGTCTTCTGAAGGCATCTTGACATATGTCCAAACTTTCTTTGTATTGACTACTTTTATGATACTTTTATTTTGATTTTTCAGTTGTATTACAACTGCTTGGAAAAGAGTGGCCAGCACATTATTTAAAATTTCCATTTGATGTTTCACTGAAGAAAGAAAGCCATAAAGGTTTGGAACAACATTTTTGGGTGACCTCTTAATTAAGGCTCTGACACACAGCAGACGACAAACAGTGGAGACAGACTCTGTTATTGAGCTCCATGTGCCGACAGATTGAAAGATGAGGTCAAAATGAGACAAAAACACTGCTGATAACAATTGCTTAAAGGGGTCATACGATGCTGCTAAAAAGAACATTATTTTGTGTATTTGGTGTAATGAAATGTTTATGCGGTTTAAGGTTAAAAAAACACATTA